AACCCTCTGTGGTATTTTGCTTATAAGAGCTTATTAGCTATAGACTCATTAAGGAAAAAAATTTAAAAGTTAATTGGGTTTCCATATTTCAGATAATTTACAATGTTTGAACCTAACAATGTTCTGATATCTAAATTGAGCCACTAAGATTGTAAATAGTAGTTTAAATCAGATATAGTTAAGAGTGAATGCTACATTTCAGTTAGCTGGTCTTTCTCAAGCTTTAGAATGAGACTATTTTCTACATTATTAAAATAATATTTTGACTCTAAATTGTTTCCATAACAATTCACTGTGTGGTTTTCTCTCCAGGGCACAAGAAAGAGACCTGTAGGTGGGGGAGGGGTGCAGCTTGAAGGCAGTTTATGAATTGCTAAAACTCATTTTTTACATGTAATAATTCTGTGTCCTGAATTGGTTACTTCACCAAAATGTGCTTTAATTCAGCATTATCAAATGGAGCAGTGAGAGTACTTGCAACACTTATAGAAGGGTCTCCTTTGTAGCTGATCTAATATGGTCATTTTTGACATGTGCTAAGTGCTAGATAAACATTATCTGAGATTATTAATGTCTATGATAGAAATATGTTTATTATTCTTGACACTTAAATTTTAGACCCTAAATTTATCCTCACAGAATTTAGCAGAATGAGCTGTTAAACTTACAGATCTTAAATCTTACCTCAATTTCAAAGACACAGTGTTCTTTTAGAACTACCTCTTTTAACCCCATAGAGTTAAAGCTTGACTTAGAGTGATTGTGAGGACTGATTTACTGGCAAAAATGAAACCTGAGGAGAGTTGCTGTCTTCATCTAAGTCTAAGCCTTTTCTCTTCAGTCTGGCCCAGATACTTATCTGTGAGCTACAGTGTGGGGTCTGTTCTGACGCCTACACTTAGAGCTCCAGTCATGGTTCTCAACTTTGAGAGACTGCTGTCTAGCCAGTTGAGAAACTAGCATTAGAAAGAGTCTGTCATTATGATCTTTAGTGCACATGGAACAAATAGACATCTCACAATATAGTTTGGTCTTCTTGCTTCTTTAAAAGGAAAGCAGCTAGACTAATTTTATTGTCAGTGGGCACTTTTCTTTATATGTTGTCCTCCTTTTGTTTGTGTGCTAAGTTTTGGTCTCTAGAGGGATTTATTGTTGTTCATGTTTTCTTTTTATTTGCCAGTACTGGGGAGGTAGAGGCAAAGGGATCAGAATCAAGCTCATCCCTGGTACAAGTTAAAGGATAGTCTGGGATACATGAGACACTGGAAGGAAGGGAGAAAGATCTCTATTAGAATATTCTCATGGTTGATCTCGCCACCAATGCAAATAAGGAAATGTGGAGGGAGCTGCATGCTTTGAGAACAGAAGTTGTGAAAATAGATAGGTTCAAGTCACACCCAGGCAGGGTTAGAGAATAACACCATTGACTTGACCTTTGTTCTTCTGCTCTTTTGAAATGGAGAATTTTGGAGGCCTTTGGAGATGTTTTCTTTCAAATGCTCTGCTTAAGGTTTCTTAAAAGGATGGCCAGATGGAAACAATACCTTCCTAAGAGTCAGGAGATCTAAAATTTTTAACTTGTTGTATATCCATATATTCGTGGACCTATGAATCTGCCTTACCTAATCAACTGTCTTCTGTTTTTGTCATTCATATGAATTGGAGTCATTTGAATTAACACCTTGTAAAGTTTCAATCCATTCTGCACCTTCAGTTTGGAATTACATTAGTAAAAAGTTTATTAGCACCAATAGTTAAAAAACAAAATCAGTATTGATGAGCAAGAGGCTTAATATACCTACACAAAGATATTTACATATGTGATGTTTACATTATTAGTCATAGAAGAATCTAAATTAAAACCAAAGTGAAATACAGTATCACATTTATTGACATGGCTATAGCTAAAAATACTAGACCAGGTTTGGTGGTGCATACCTGTTATCACAACATTTGGGAGTCAGAAGTAGGAGGATGAGTGCAAATTTGAGGATAAACTTTTCTACAAGGTAAATTCCAGGCCAGCCAAAGCCATAGAAAGATGTAGTGGGAACCGTCCCCCCCCCCCCCGGGGGGGTGGGGGGTGGGTGTGTGTGTGTGTGTGTGTGTATGTATGTATGTATGTATGTATATATGCCAGCATGCTGGCATACAAACTGTTGTAGAAGATGTGGTGTGACCAACTGGCAACTTCATATTTTACTATTTGAATGCAGTGTGGTCACAGTAAAGAATTCTAGAGCATAATATCTCCCCAGCAACCCTATTCCCAAGAATTTACCACAAAGAAAAAGAAACACAAAAAGTTCATATAAGAACGAGCATAGAGCATATTTGTAAGAGATCAGTGTTAGAAAAGTTCACATATTCATCAATAGGTGATTGCATAAAAATCATGGTATATTCATGAAGCCGAGTAATACGTAACAATGAAATGGAAGATATTGCTTAAATAGATAACATGAATCTTAGAAAGTATATTAAATAAAAGAAGCTAGAATAGCAAATATTTTAAAAAATAACACAATCCAAAACTAGATGAATTAATCCATGGAGGTAGAAATCAGAAAGTGACTACAAATTGAAAAGAGACAGGTGATCTAGTGGATTTTTTTAAAACCATCTGTTTTGCATAAGCTTATATAAATAACTGTCAAAATTCAATAAATGAATACATAGAGTATGTGCCTTTTACTGTTTGTAAATTGTGCCTCAATTTTAAATATCAAGACAGCTGAATTACATAAAATATAAAATTTAAACTCTGAAATTGTCTATCATTCATAAAGGAGGAAAAAGGATGTACAGTACAGTTGGGTCTGAAACAGTGGGACTGAAGAGTTGAGAATGTACTTGAAGGGGAATAACTGGGGGAGGGTTGGGGCAAGTATGTACATGCTTGGAGTATTAACTCATTAGTTAATTTTTTCTTTTTCTGCTTTCTGTTTTCTATGATATATAAAATATATCTAAGGGAAATGCTCTACTCCTGGGCTTATTTAGCTATATATTTTTATTTTACATTTAATTTATTATCTTATTTGACATGTGTTCTATTTTCTAATTACCCAGATGTTTTTCTGATATGCTTAGACTCATAGTGGTTTTTAGAATAGCATTTATTTATGAAGCGCTTGTGAAATTTTAACAAATATCTAGCTAAATAAAGTCTTTCACTTGCCCAATTCTTGGAGTACTTTAGAGTTTTTCTCATTATCTTACATGAGTAATGTTATGAGTCAACTTCTAATTTTGGTTTTAATGTACTTTTCTTTAAAAAATGAGAATATAGTAGGTGATCCATGTTTGCATAAAGATTTATGGTAAAGGGCTGCCAGAAATGCTGTTTTACACTCATAGCCAGCTAGCTCTCCAGCTTGTTTTTCAGTCTTCCTCTGCTTTCTGAGTCCACATTTCATAAGTAGGCTCCACTAACTCTTGAATGGATGGAAACGCAAAGAAAGCTGGTATCTCCTTGAAAACATTTCCTGTCTGCTCAATTCACTTTTACTACATTAGTAAAATTTAAAGAGCTAGATGTATCTTTATGTGGCTACTAAGAGACTGTATTTGGATAACAGTCTTCAACAGGAAAGAATCAGGACTCTTATAGGGCAATTTATTCATCAATACATAGAACGTCTAATGTTTCAGTTTATATTCAATACTTTAACCCTTGGGTAAAGTAGATTCTTTAAAATAATTCTGATGTTAGAAAAGCAAATGGTTTCAAAGTAATTTCAAAATTTAAAATATCCAGAATATTTTGAACATTGTTTTGGACATTCCAAAACATTTCTTAAAATAAGCTGCTTTATTGATCATGTGGTACCATTCATAAAAATTAGTTTATAAAATTAATCTAATTAGAGTTTTACAATGCTAGCAATTAAAACTATTTACAACTGATTTTCATTTTTTATTTTTTCTTAAATAGGTCCTTTCTGATGTTGCTTGAGCTTATTCTCCTGCAGTTGGTCTCATTCCTGTTCGTTAAACATTAAGTCCCATGACAACATTAAGTTGATGCTCTTGTGTTATAGGCCTCATAGTGAATGATACTGGAGGGGGAAAGCTTGGCCTGTACATTCATTGACCTTATTCCATTTCTTCCATTCCATCAATACCACAACTTTTATACATGATCATTTTTACAGTTGCAGTCACCACTTTGACTTACACTAGACTAAAGAGCATAGTTGAGTTTTTGGAAAGTCAGGATCTACAAATTTGGTCAATAAAATACACACATACAGAATTACTATAATTAAGGAAGCAGGAAATTATTGGTACATAAGATGAATGTTTGTTTGAAATTACTATTTCAAATATAATTGTTTTAAAATTTGGTTAATTTTGGATATTTTTCTATACTATTAAGTTGATAATGGTTTTTGAAGTTCATTTGGTAGAGATGATTCATTTTTCCTGTTTTGTGGTACCAGTGAGATTCTAATGTTAAATTGATGTGTTTGGTTATATGAGTGTTTGTGCCAGCCTTTAAATAATGAAATTTTGGACAGTTAGTTTATACCAGAAGTCCAGGGGCAAATGTTTATGCTGGTTTGATGCCTAATATAGTTTCAAAAAAAGAAAAAGAAACTGATTTTGCTGTACTTTTTTTTTTTCTTCATGATATACTTGGTGTCAAAACAAAATTTAAAGAAGCTTTTTTGTTGATTAAAGAGAAATCAGAGGTTCTGTTTTTCTGCATTAGAAAGCAAAAAAAAAAAAAAAACCAAAAAAAAAAAAAACCCCAAGAATGCACTATAGTAAGACCTTTCAAGCAGTGCTGTCAGTTAAGGAAAGAGTCCTGACTTGATGTAACTGTTAGTGTTTGCACTGCAGTGATAGTAATCTACCATCATTACAGTATCATCAGGTGTTTAAATGTTAGAACATTATGTTAAAATGTGATTGTCGTCTGAATGTTTTGTCTCTTGAATTAAATTTGTGTCCATAAAGATGCGCAGCATAATTGTTCATGTATTTATTTACAGACTACAATTTCCGTCGCAGCTCAATAAATAGTCTTTCCCCTGTTAGTGCTACCCTCTCTTCTGGGACTCCCAGCGTGCTTCCTTATACTTCAAGGCCTTACTCTTATCCAAGTTATCCCTTGTCACCAACAATATCACTTGCTAATGGCAGCCATGTTGGACAACGACTATATATCTCCAATCAGGCCTCATTCTTCTGAAGAAAGTCTGGATACATTAGATAACATTTTCTTTGTATAAGGCATGAAAATTAAAAGTACTGTTGTATTTTTGAATTGGGTTTGCACATTTGACTTTAAAAACTGTATCTTAACATATTAAACATCAGCTATAATTCAGAATGACAAGAATGGTAGGATTTGCAGAGATGCATTTAAAAGTTATTCAGTGACAGCAAACTACTATTGTCTTTGTAAACTTGGGGGGTTTCTAATTCCTTAGTTTGAAGATTCCAGTAGTTTATGTTTTTTTGTATAACAACTTTGTAAAGCATCATTTCACAAATATTGAAGTACTTAGAGACAGTGTATGTACTAGACTAGATTACCAAGGATCGCTATCTGTAGTGGAGTTCAGAACAGTTATGTAACCAGAAGCATCTAAATATTATGTAGAAAGAAATGATGAGACAAAAGAGATTAAGATGCAAATTTTTGCAAGTTGTAATAAAAATCAGTTTACCATTGTGGTCCTTGAAAGTAACTAAATATTTTAGTTAATATTTGTTACACAAATAAATTACAATTTTGCTGTTAATATATTTAAGGTTTTTATAGTTATGATTCATTTATGTTTTGATATTCATTACATTGTTTTGGTAAGAAGTGTTAATGTTTTTTAAATGTTGAAATCATGTGTTGTTTAATTTTTATACTTCAAATTCTTCAACATTAAATATATGATGCTACTAATGTGTGCTTTGTTTTTTATTAGAATTCACACACACTGGTCTCCCAGTCATTAGTCTGAGGTCCATGAGTTCCCCCTTGTTCAGGTCAGCTGTTTCTGTGGTCTTGACTCCTTTGCTCTTCATTCCTCCCTCTTTGCGACTGGATTCCAGAAGGTCAGTTCAGTGTTTAGCTGTGGTATCTGCCTCTGCTTATATCAGCCACTGGATGAAGGCTCTAGGGTGACATATAAGGTCTCATTATGGGGTAGGGCATTTAAGGTAGCCTCTCCACTATTGCTTAACTTGCCAGTTGGTGTCATCCTTGTAGATCTCTGGAATTCTCCCTAGTGCCAGATCTCTCCTCAAATCTTTAATGGCTCCCTCTATTATATCTCTCATCCTGCTCTCCTCTATTCTTCCCTCATCCTTCCTCCTCTCCCCTCCTCTTCTCTCCCTCCCTTTCTCCCAGCTCCCTCTCCCCTTCCCCCATGTTCCCAATAGGCTCAGGAGATCCTATCCCCTTCCTCTTCTCCAGGGTACCATGCATGTCTCTCTTAGGGTGTTCCCTGTTTCCCAGCTTCTCTGGTGGTGTGGATTGTAGGCTGGCAATCCCCCGTTCCATATCTAAAATCTATGTATGAGTGAGTACATACAATGCTTGTCTTTTCGTGATTGTATTACCTTACTTAGGATGGTTCTTCTAGTGCCATGGATTTGCCTGTGAATTTCAAGATTCCATTGTTTTTTCCCTTTGACTAGTACTCCATTGTGTAAATATACCACATTTTCTCTATCAGTTGAGGCACATCTAGGTTGCTTCCAGGTTCTGGCTATTACAAATAATGCTGCTATGAACATAGTTGAACAGATGTCCTTGTTGTATGAATGTGCATATTTTGGGTATATGCCTAAGAGTAGACTCCTTTGTGTGGTAGACCGATTCCTATTTTCCTGAGGACTCACCATACACTGATTTCCAAAGTGGCTGTACAAGTTGGCACTCCCACCAGCAGTGGAGGAGTGTTCCCCTTTTTCAAAAGCCTCTCCAGCATAAACTGTCATTGGTGTTTTTGATTTTAGCCATTCTGACAGGAGTAAGATGGTATCTCAGAATTGATTTGCATTTCCCTGATGGCTAAGATGTTGAGCACTTTCTTAAGTGTCTAACAGCCATTTTAGACTCCTCTATTGAGAATTCTGTATTTAGTTCTGTACCCAACTTTTTAATTGGATTATTTGGTGTTTTGGAGACTAGCTTCTTGAGTTCTTTATAAATATTGGATATCAGCCCTCTGTCAGATGTGGGGTTGGTGAATATCTTTTCCCATTCTGTGGGCTGCCTTTTTGTCTTGTTAACTGTGTCCTTTGCCTTACAGAAGCCTCTCAGTGTCTGAATATCCATCCCCCCTGAACGTGGGTGTCAGTGAGGAGGACTCAGCAATATATGGGACCTCTGGTAGTAGACCAGTATTTATCCCTGGCATATCAATAGACTTTGGGAGCCCAGTCCATGTGGAGGGATGTTCTCTCAGCCTGGACACATGGGGGAGGACCTGCCCTGGCAATCCGCTATGGAGGGCCTCACCCTCCCTGGGTAGTGGAGAGGGAATGGGGTGGGGGATTTGTGGAGGGTGGGGGAGGAGGAGAGGGAGAGGGATCTGGGATTGATATGTGAAGCAGGCTTGCTTCTAATTTAAATAAAAATAAAATTCAATCAGGGAAGGGGAGTGTAACTCGGTGGTAGGAGGTTATAAGAAAAATCTCACCCCCTCTCTCTCTCACATACACACACACACACACA